GGATAGTTGAGGGGCCGGCGCGCTGACGCGATGGCGGCAACGCGCCGGGGCTCTGCTGCGGCAGTGATTGCCCCGCTCCTGCTGCGTTCACGCTCTGCAACAGATGCGAGCCGGAGGCCGCCGCCACCCGCCCGCCTGCACGCCCTGCACATGGGCTGAGCGGCCGACGAAAGCTTCGCCGCCGCGCCGCCGCCTGAGGTGCCGCACCTGCTGCGCGTTGTTGACGAGTGACGTCAGCGCGGCCACGGCGCCCCATGCGATGGCGATGCCGCCAAACCACCAGCGCACGCCGACGCGCATGCCTATCGCGCCGCTGGGCACCTGCAGCACTCCATAGGTGGCGTAGAATATGCCTGCAGGGGATGGCGTGTTTTATTGGCATTGCGGCCTCCGAACTAATCTGCTCTGTATTGTCAGCTTGTCCCACAAAAATGATTCCACAGCCATCAAAGGATGCATCGCACAGAAATGCAACAACGTCACCGGCCGCCCGCGGTTTAGCAACGGCAACCGGGTGGCGCGCGGCCGCACGCACAGGCGGGGCGGGGCGGCAGCGGCAGCAGCGGCGCAGGGCGGGGGCGGGCCCACCTGCGGCGAGCCCGTAGGTAGCGGCGTCGAATCCCAAGTCTGTGCAATGGGCGCAGAAAGCGGTGGGCGCAGGGGATGCTACAATCAGTCACGCCAAGCTACTGGCGCCTGCACGACAACCGCAGACTTGTAATCAGCGACCCGCCCGTCCGCGCCGCCGGCTGCGCGGCGCGGCGGCGACAGAGCCTGGGCGCGGGGCGCGTTGCATCGACGCATCCGGGGGGGGGGGGCGGCTGCGCACCCGCATTCATCTGTGTCGCAGCGAACGCCAGCGTGCCGCGGTCCAGGGTCATCATCACGTTGGCGGCCAGCACTAGGGGCACGACTATCCAGAACACCCTGCGTCAAGCAGGCGGCGGCAAGGGGGCCGCCAGGCAGCGTGCGCGCTCGGTCGAGGGGCGGTCCATGGGTGATGATCGGAGCCCCCAGCTGCCAAGTGCGCGCCCATAATGTACATGTTATCGGGTTCGGTGCGCTTGAATTGAGCAGGCACCGGCTACGGAGCAGCTGCTGCGTACGGGAAGGGGAGCCTGCTCTCGCCGAGAAGAGCGGCCGGTGCAGCATTCGGCGCTGCGGGCGGGTGCACCGCTGCCGCACCTGCGCAAAGCAACCTCCACCAGAATTTGCGACTCTGTCAAAGCCTCTACCGTCGTTTTTGCGTCCTTGCCCCCGGGTTGCGCCATTGCCGCAGCCTTTGTTGTGACAGGATTGTCCGGCGTGCGATCTTGCGGTGTTACCCCCCGTTACCCGTATAAACACCCTTGAACAACAAAAGCTTCGTGCCTCGCCAAGCACCGCGTCTGATATGTGAATGTCGGTCTGAAACTGGTGTCGGTGTCACGGACACTCCGCGAACGGGCACGGCTAACGATGTGCAAGTGACGCTCAGAACAAAGGCTTATGCTTGCAAGGGACCATCAGCCTCTTCAACTGGCTCGGCGCAGTCACGGTCAGCAGGTGACAACGCCACAACGGTGCAAGTGACGAGCCCCTGCAATGCAGTGTTCATGTGTCCAACTATTGGAACGACGTTACCGTGAACTGTGTGCCGTCTGTCACCGTGTGTGGTGGCACGACGAATAGCTGCGCTGACCGGTACTGCTGATGATTTGACTGCTGTTCACGTCGTCCTTCGCGGTGCTTGTTCATCGGGTTGCGGTGTGTCTCGTCCACCACCCTCCAGCAAGGGACCCCCTTGTTGCTGCCACCATGACAGCATCACCAACGCCACTGTCGCGACTGCAACACATGCGGTTACGTTCAGGTGCCACGTGGGCATACCTGCGACGACGAAGCTTGAACACTGATAGCGATCGGGAGCGCTGCATGCCGTGCCTGCACATGCCCGCACCTGCTGTGGCCCAAGCAGACTTGCAAAGGACGCGCCGGGGCGCATGCCTCGTCGTCCGAGGCACGGGCCCCGGGCGCGGCGGGCAGACTGCAAGGGCGCGGCAGTGCGTCGCAGCAACGGCCGCTCGAACCCCTCGCATGCATGCGAACTGCGTGAGATACTGACCCGGGCCCTTCCACGGATGGACCTTGGCATGTTGCCGGGGGCGCCGGTCTGTCTGCCCCTGGACCCCTACCCTTTGAAAAGCAAAAGTAAAGTGCTTCACCCAGTGCGCGCGGTGCGACGTCGCATGAGGGGTGGTGTGCATACAGTCGAGAGGCGCACAGTGCGGCAAAGGGTATTATATGTGCAGGTTGCAAAGGCGGCCCCTCGCAGCCCCCCGCCGGGGGCGTGTGTTGTGTGCCCGCCATCCCTTGTTCCAAAGCGCTGGGCAGTGTGTTCGGTGAGAAAATCATTCTGGTGGCAAATCTGGTGGCGAAGCAGAGGCGTGAAGTATGTGAGTGTGCGTGTGTCAGCGCCGGCGCCGGCTTTCCATGTGCAAGTGTTGCATGGTGTCGTCCCCTGCTGCCCATGCAGCGGACCTCTCGCGCACGTTTCGCCGCGCGCTCGGCCCAACAAACCCTGCAATCCCCTGGCGTGCGCCGCCCCACAGGGGGGCAGCCGGTGGTGCGAGAGTTGCGAAAGCCCCTCCTGAGAAACACGAGACGACCCCGATTGGTTGATTGGCAGTCTGAAAGCGGAGCCCGTGTAGCCCCTGGAAGCAAACTGGGAAACCTGCTGAAAACCCTGGGAACTGAAATGGGCCTAGAGTGGCAGCGTGACACCCCAAGCCCTCCCACCAACAACTTGTCCTGCAGGCCCGCGTGCTCGGAGGCACGGAGCTCGGCCCGCGGGAGAGGCGGCGCGCGCGCCGAGTCGGGGCGGGTGAAGGGTTCGGCGT